AGCCTGACAATTTATTTCTTCTTGAAACATCAGGTTGAGAAAGGCTAGCATGAGATTGCCAGGTTAGTCAACAACCTCTGTATTGTGTCCCTATGAAGCGACTTATCTTGATGATTGCTTGGTGGTGATGTTCATCCTTCCTGTTTAAAAACTGCTGATTGATCATGTATAATTGGTGCTAATTATGTTGAAATTAGGAGACAGCCACCTTTAGCCTACTTTCAGGCTCTGCCCCGGGTGGTGATTCACTGGGATTTGCAGAGGAAGAGGCCCTATCTCTTTTCCAAATAGTTCTGAGCAATCCAGGCTGAGCCTGAAGCAAGAATGCTTTTTGCTCCTAAGGTGGAGAGGATGAGTCACCCCAGTCTCTTTTTTTCTTTTCTGGTAGCAAGAGCCTGGCGGAGAGATGCTGACATGCTGGAGATTATTTTTAGGTCAATGGGGGCTGAGCCGCCTGACCTTCTAACCACGCTTCCTTCCCTCTTTCTGGCATTCTCCCTGACTCCCCTTTGGCTTCCTCTTGCCATGAAAGTTCAGCGGCTGAGAGGTAGAAGCTGCAAGACTCTCCTTTGCAGTTTCGGTGAACGAGTCCCTCTTTTGGCCTGCTGGCCATTAACCAGGTTTGAGGAAGCCAGGGCCCTGGAGAAACTTTTAATGACATCTCCCAGCAGCTACACCAGTTGGGCCAAAGGGGAAGGCTGGGCGAATTGAAGTTGGCCAACGTTTGGGGGACCAACAGTTTCCCAAACTGGCAAGCTGGTGTCCTTATGTTTTGGATTTCAACCCATAGCTAAAAGTTACAAGTGTACTTATTCACCCACATGCTGCTTTGAGAGCTGGAGGATGGAGGGAGAACCCTGCCCCATCGAAATCCCGGTTTATACCACTCTTCTAGAGCCTACCCAACAGCGTGGCTATTTAATATCAGTCCTCCAAGCTAGGCTAGGTCAGGAAACCGACTCCACAAGAGATATTATGCCTCTCCTTTGCCGATCCTGGCCATATTTTCCCTGCTTCTTATGCCCAAGAGAGATAAGGTGAAGCTAGTCTGAGCTTCTTCCTAATGTTTTCTCCCAGTCCTAGGCATAAAAGATGTTTTTCTAAGTGCCATTCTGTCGCTTCTCCGAGGTCATCTCGGTGGCTCTCTCCTAATGATTTTCTTCCTTCTCTGATGCTGTTTCTTAGGGGAAGTTGTGGTGAAGTGGTTTGAGGCTGTCCAGACAGGTCTGCCCATGTGTGTCCTGGGAGCACTGTTTGGACCTTTACGCTTAAACGCCCGGTAGGTCGAGAACCTTGTTAAATGCATACTTGCTTGCCAGCCTGTCTTCCAACAGAAATCAGGGCCCAAACCCCCACTGATCCGTCCATTGCGTTATGGAACTTAGGTGAAAGTGCCAGTCCTTGATTGATCAATTGATTTGCTAATTTTGAAGTATTAATCAAGCCCAGCCTCACCTTGCTTTTTTCAAGAGATTAACTAGGCGGTACCGCCTGCCGTAACGTCTAATTATTTTTTTGTTGTTGTTTAATCTAAAAAACCCAAGAGGATTAAGGGGATCAAGGGGTTACACAAAAGATGGGATTTGTAAGAGTCTAACAAAGTCACTCTGCAGTGAGTTGGGCGGTGACAAATTTGAAATATAAATAAATAAACAAGCAAAGACTGTCAAAAAGCCTTAAACCTTTCCCTTAATAAAGAATGCCTCCAAATATATTAGGAGCCTAGTTCTCTTGCCCCAGCCTCTTTCGCCTTGTTTTCCATTGGATTTTCTGCAGCTGCATTATTCATGCAGAAAGCATAAGATTCAATCGTGCGCTGCTTTGTAGCAGATAAGAACAAGATCGTAACAGCTGTGAAAGGCCAGGTAAACAGAGAAGACAATATAGATTGAGCAAGGCGTCCGATTTCTAAACAGTCCAGCCCTAAAAACATTCTGTGGAAATGGGCTGGACCAATAAAACCTTCATCCCTTGCCTAAATTTTAAGAGAGGACTCTGTTCATCACTCAGAGAACATTGGATTAAGTAGGCAGCCACCTCTTGGAAGACTTTATCATTGGTGACAGGATACGTGGAGACCTTTGAGTCAAAAACGTGGTGACTTCAACCTTTCTGTCTTCCCAACCATCTTCCTTCCTTCCCCCAGAAAGCGACACCTTCTGACCACCGAGCTCATCCCGTGGGCCGTTCAGAGCGGACGAAACGCCACCTGCATCCTGAACGTCTATTATGAGAAGCGTTGGGAGCAAACCATACAGTCCCTTCGCCAGGAAATGGGCATCCTGCCCCCCCCCGCTGTTCAGGTTTGAGTTTCCACAGCTGAGACGGGAGAACGCCCGATGGAGCCCACCGCCTTCGGGAAGCCACAGAATTAAATCTCAGCAACGAAATATGTGTCCTCTGGCAAAGCCTGGGGCATTTTGGGGGTTGGCATCCCCAACTTCTTTTTTTTTTTGTCCTGGAATGCTAAGAGGGGGAAAAAGCATCAAAACAAAAGCCGCAAATGTTGAAACCCTGAATCCGTTCAACAATAAAAATGGAGACACTATCGGTGGTCCAAATGAACGATGAAAACAGAAATTAGATCTCAACTCCTAAGGTTTTGCAAAGGGTTTGTTGCATCGCTGAGTCTTCGCGAGCCACACCGAATCATACTAGCATGTTCATTCTCACAAGCACCTTTTCTGGGTTCGGGCCTGAGGGTCTTTCAACGTCCAGGATTCTCCTCAAAGCCTCACCATCCCATCAATTCTGAACCTTTTCTAATGATCTTCATCTCTTCCTCCTCCTCCTCCTCTACCTCTTGCTCAGACCCCTGTGAAGTTGACTGTTCGATGCTTTTTGGCCCGGCCTGGAAGAAACTAGAGAAGGATGGAAGAAATACTAACTCCGCCTTGAGTTGTTTACAAGAGATCCCCTTTTGTAAGGCAGACCGAATCACTGTGATAAATTGGATTGCACAACTGCTTGTATTATAGGGCAAGTGCAAAAATGCCAAGCTAATAACATCCTTCTGAGCCGAGGTTGAATACCAAAGTGCAAATTCTCTACGTTCACAACAGGGTGGTGACATTTCACAGATTCTATCTTCTGCTCCAGGGTTTCTGGTTCCGTAACATACCCGGTGCCCCAAACCTTCTCCTTAAATACCTTTACGTTTGGTTTCTCATTCCAGCTTTTAAATTAAGTTTGCAAAATGATTGAATGATTCCGGTTGCACCTCTGTCCTGCTTCCGTTGGAAAGACTGGGCTCCCGGGTTTCTGTGTTTGCAAACCACAGTGGATACATCTCTGGTTCACACAACATACCAAAGCCAAAAAAACGGGGCTTGTTTGTTGTCCATCAAACCGTTCGTGCTTGTTCAGCAAACTATGGTTAAATAAATAGCGTTTATCTGTGAACACAACCTCAGTTTTGTTATGAACACCTTGGCTGTTCGACCCTCCCCAAGGGGGAAATATATTTCTACAGCCTCTAAAGATTGGCCAGGTTCAAGCACTGTGTCAAAACCCCGCATCGTTTTCTTGGAAAATGCAGCCTCTTGTGGTTCATTCAGCAAGCCATGTTGAAACAAACCACGGCTTCGTGTGATGCCCCAACCCAGCCAAAGACAACTTTATTGCAATAAATATTTTGGTGACCCTGAGTGAGTGACATTTTTTTCTTTTGGGGGTGGGTACAACTTTGGGAAGCTGCTGCTCTGTAGGACAGCCTGGAAGACATCCATTGTGTATTTATACCTTCGATATTGTCAAGAAGTAACTACACAAACTATTTGTAAATAAAGCAGTGCTTATTCGGAGATAGCTGTGAAACGATTCCCCCCTTCCTTAAAGGAGCGTAATATAACCCCTGTTCTCTCTCTGTGGAAAGTAAGATTTTTGAAGTCTTAAAACCCCCCCCCCCCCGGTTATTATTTCTTTTTACACCGCCGGAGTGCAGAGCCAGCAGCTTCCTGCGCTCTGGTTCCAGATGCCCGCTGCCACGCGGTTCGGCCGTCGCCGCCCCCGCCATGCCAGTCCTTCCGATTTCCTCTTCCTCCCACCCCACCTGCAGCTCGGGGCTCTGCTCCTGAGCCCCTTCTTCCCCTTGTCTCCGTCCCTGAGCGCCG